TATATATACATATACATATACATATATCTTCCTTAAAGCTTTTTTGGTAAAAAAACGTTTTTTTCTTTCCAATATTACTGTACTTTTGTAATTTTGAATTTAATTAAACTGACTTTGAACATATAAGGATACTCTTTTTCTTTTGCATAAAGGTCAATCATAATAAACAAATAATATTTAAATAATTTAATAACAATTGAAAGATCGTACTAAGTATACCCTATCAAGTTTGTATATTTTTGTGAAACGTTCAATTAAGAAATATTTTCTTTAAATGTAATGTTTCTAATTTTTGGAACATTATATAAGAGCCTTTTTATTTTAAAATTTTTAACAAATTCAAATTGTTGAAAAAAAATTTTTTGAATTTTGTTTCCTATTTTTATTGTAATTTTTTTATTAATAAAGATACATACATTTGCGTATTACCGTTATATTTCTTAATTTCTGGAGTTTTGATTAAAAAAATTGTTACAATATGTTTATTTTTATGAAAATTATAAACAATCAAAGTTAAATTGGGTATGTCATACTGAATGAATATTATCCTTGTGAAACTAATTGTGTAACGTTTAAGAGTGCGTGTTTACGCGTGCGCGCGTGTGTGTGTGTGCGTGTATGTGTGTGTGTGTGTGTGTGTATACGGTGTTACGAAATTTGCAAGTAAAACTACAGTAAGAAAGTTTTCAAAAAATTAAATGAAATAGTTATTTGTAAATTTTTATTTTAAGTAATAGTTTGTGAAATAATAAGGTATATAAATATAATATGTCAATCAGGACTACGTTTGAACGGACTATGTTTAAACGCTGAAAGCGTTATTTACTAATACTGTCGCATGATTCATGGTGGTCATCTATAATTTAAACGTAATTTATAATTGGCTATATTTAAAAATATCTCAAAAACTATTTTATTTGAAATAAAAATGTATATACAACCTTTTTACTTAATTTTTCAAAAACTTTTTTGTACTTTGATCACGAATTTTGGAATACCCTTTATATATATATATATCACACAGACACACACACAGACACACACACACACACACACACACACACACAAATACATATGTTCATGTACAATGAAAGTAGTGTAATTATTATATAAAAGATGAAACGTTAACAAGCATAAACTTTTTAAGAAAGAGGGTATAGGAAAAAATACAGAATTTGAGATTTTATATCTTTAAAATCTTTTTTATCCGCGTATTGTTAAGCAGGTGAGTATATAGTCAAAAAAGAAAGATCATATAGTCAATATATAATCAATTTCCAATCCGAGTATTTTCGATATATCCTGTGGATACACGAAGAGAAAGAAAATAAGATGAGAAGTTCAGGCAGGCCATTGCCTTTCATGAAATAGCGAAACCCATCCTTAGCCTCTTGAATCCTGTTCACGCTGATCTCCACAAAACGATACTGTGAATTGGATTTCTATGCGCGACGGTTCGGTCTACTGGACTGACATGCTGAAACTCGCATCGTTTTTTATTATCTTGTTTATCTTATTATCTTATTATCATTTACGTAAACTAGACATTTATCATTGGTTGCTTTTATGAGATTATTTAGAATTCTAATATGATAAAAAATATAATATGTTACAATTACAGTTCACATGTTACAATTACAGTACATTATCTAAATGATTACCATAGATATAAAAATTTGAAATATTGAAGCGTATAGTAAATGATCGTTTTATTAAAATTATTTCATAATTATAAGATATATGAATGCTTTCTATAAATTTTTGGAATTTTTCTTGTCATTTGAGAAATTAGAAGATTAACTGTCTTTCTGCGATTTATATGCAGCTTTTTATTAGCGGAAAATACATAATCTATTAGAAAATAAAAAGTACTTTTGGCGCTATTACAATATAATTGTACGCGCTGGCGCATGATTGAATGCATCCTTAAACTTCCAACGGAACTAATTAGCGGATATAATTGAGCCATACATTTCTACAACGTATAGTGACAAAACTTGTTTGCTACACGAATCGCTAATATGGATTATACAGTGTCTTGTAAATACGAGAGGGAGAGAATTAAAGAGTAAGAGAAAGAGGAAGGGGGGGGGAGAGAGAGAGAGAGAGAGAGAGAGAGTGAGAATATGTATGTGTGTGTGTATATTTTATATGCATTTATACGCGTTTATTGTTTTTGTTCATGTCTACATAAAATATATTCCAAGCTCAATAACAGTAAGTGATAAACTGATCGCATATCTTTCTCATTACTGTAACTTCCATAATGACGAAGCATTATATGCAACTCGAGAATCTATCTGCTTAAAATAAAAATTGTTAATTGCATTAAAAATTATTATTATTGTTATATATTAAATAGTATTATGTATACATAATATATTAAAATTAGCGGAAAAATAGAAAAGAATAAATTCGATCACGAATAGAGTTTAATTTCGTCACCTCGTATTTGAATGAAGCAGCATATCGTGACGATAATAGTGATCATTACGTGCACGAAAATCGTGTCCATTAGAAAAATACGATGAGCGGTAAATGAAGATCTTGAATACGTCGACCGAAAATGAAATGTGTCATTTAAAGATCAGTTGGATTTACAAATGACACGGTCTGTTGCAAAAGAGTTGAAATTCAATTCTTGATCGTTGGTTGACCTGTTATTAATATATACTGTTGCAATGTCAGTTTTGAATACCATATTAAATTATAAAATTAAACTGAAAAAACTGAATGTGTTAAACCCGATAAAATTTAATTCTATCTGCATTATTAATAAAAATAAAGAGTTATCGTCCAAATAGTGACAAAGAGTCGTTATTTAATTACACGACAATTATAAAAAACAGAAGTTTTTAAAAATTTCTTTTTTTCTTTTTACTATTTATTATCCTTTAAGTAGAAAATCCTTTCAATACTTTCTTTTGAGAGAACGTTCTGATGAACAGATGATACATGAACATCTGTTAAACCACATCCTACTATCCTTTTTTGCTCTACCACTTTCTACTATACACGCCATTATGGATCAATAATCTTGTTTCACAATTTCTTGTTCTCTTTCACATCCTTTTTCCTTATTCAACGGAAGATGTGACATGAGGTTCTTTCAACCGACAATATTGCCATTGGATTTTTCTGACTAGTAACAAATGGAAGAGCGACAAGCACTACGCGACCGGAAAAGGTGGACCGCAATCGCAATCATCGCGGTTTAATCTTTTAATACGATTAGATTGACGCTTTTTAGCTATTAACAAGGACGAATGGAAAGCGCGATTTGTCTTCTTCACTGTTATCCGCTTATCTTTATTTCACGAAGCTTAGCACGACTGCTAAGAAAATAATACACTTCGTCTTGTATTGTAGAACGAGGTTTTATTATACAAAATAGTCTAAAAAAATAATCGGATGTTCAGTTACAGATTTCAGTTACATTTTATGATAAAATTAATAAAATTGATTTTTCTTTGACGAACATAATTGATGAAGATAAATTGATAATTTACGAATTCTTTTTATAAAATTTATATATTCTATTGAGTAATACTTATGGTAGATAACGTTACATAACAGAAATTATCTAAGGAGACATTTAACATCTCTGAAGAAAACATCGATATTCTTAATGTGATTATCTATTAGCGATAGAAAAATTATAACTCGATGTTTTCTCACAATCTTCTATGTACGTAATTCGAATAGATTTTATGACACATTTTACATATGTGAATTATTACGTATATACTTCAGTTATTTATGAGTAATACAAATTATGCCTACAAATAGAAATAATATCAAAGAAGAATTAAGCTATGACAAAATCTAGTTAAATACAAAGTTCTGTTTTTGACATATTTTACATCCGAAACGTGAGCACTTATAAAACGTTTTGTAAAGTTTACAGCATCCTCCGAAGTATCTGCATTTGTTAGAGAAAATACGCACAAGAAGAGAGAGAGGGGGGGGAGGGGGGGATAGAGAGAGTTAGATGGAATACATTTAGGGAGGAAGTAGTTCTCACTTGTGTCTTTTAATGCGATTAGTTTAGTAGCTTCACGATGATGCAACAACGAGCAACGGAGTGAAAACTATCGTTTACAATAGAATTGCAATTATCTCTAATAAGCATCGTGTTTAATATGTGGCTTTTACTTATCGATTGTATCGTAAAAAAGCGAAAGGATTTTACTTATTTTGTATTTTAATATATTTTTAATACACGATAAAATATTTTTTTAAATAAATATAATTATTTTTTTAACTTCTTTTTTTAATATGAATCGAAATCTGTATAAATTTCTGAATATGCGAGTGCATTACAATTGAAAATAGTTTGATTATTATAAAACTTTAAAGCTAAGATTTCTTTTTATCATGTATTTCTTAAATATGATGTGAGATTGTATTTCAAATAGTTTGAAAGAATAATATTTCCTTGTACATACACAAATTATA